ACTCACCTCAGCCTCCCAAAGGCGCGGGATTACAGGCTGAGCCACCGAGCCCGGCTAATACTAAGTTTTTAAAAGCAATTTGTCTAGCAAATTTATAAATATATCTGGGACTGAAAGTTAGCAGAGTTGGGGAAAAATGTCTGGGGTTCTTACCCAGGGTTTGAAGCCCATCTCTGTATAGTTTCTTCATCATCACCATCACACAAATCAGCAAAAGTAGCTTCTAAATCTTCTAACTGATGAATTCGAGTATCCACAATATCTACCAACTCTTCCTTTTAACACATTGAAAAGTTGAGATTATATAGTTATTCTTTTAAAAACAAGCAAAATCTCTATTACAATGAAAAGCTCAGCTCAATTAATTAAAACATGATTTTCAAGTACTAACAGGAGATTCACCAATAAACACACACACATACATATACACACAAACACACAATGTAAACAGTCCTTTGAGATCACTATAGTGCAGGATATTACCCATTATGAGATAAATGGATAAAACTGAAATGAAACAAAAGGATACCTCTGTTAGGTTGGCACCAGGCTTTTTAAATTGGTACAGTTCCTGTAAGATTTTATACTCCTCCTGGAATACAAAAAAAAAAAAAAAAAATCAATATGCCAGAAAAAAAAGTTAATATTTTTCAAAGATAAGTTTTAAGTGAAAGATACTCCTGAGACACAAGGAGAACATTTTAGATAATTATTTAAAAGTTTGTCTGGAAGGATCAGGGAGAATGTGTATTTTAGATTTAATATCATTTCCTCAGGGCAATTCTATCCAGCTGAGCATGACCATAATACATAAAAATGATATATACATACATGTATTATATATACAATTATGTACATATAATAATACTAGGTGGCTAATGGTCATGAGATGGAAACATTTCTAATAATATTTCACTATATAAATGGCTGTATTCTAGGATCTAAACAGACTGTAGCTTTTATAGGAAATATACATATTGTTAATAATGACAATAAAAAAACACTCCCTGTTTACCTTGTAGCCATTTCTTTTAGCAACATAAGAGAACTATGGAGTACAAAGGCAATACCAGAGACAGATTGGCAAAGACACAGAACCCTGGTCAGGAGGCTCCACACAATGGAAGAAAGACATCTGCTATACATAGACTTTGCAGAAGATCTTCACTTGTTTAGCACAGCTAGGTAGATCTATCATATGGATTGTACATCTGGCCCCATTAATCCTATTTAGTTGTATTGACAGGAAGAGGTTATACCCAAGCGCTAAAATTCATTAAGCACAATGTTGGGGCATTATCCTCAGTGCTTCACTCATAATAATCATATGAGTTGTATATAATTATTATTTCAACTTTATACTTGAAGAAACTGCAGGTTAGAAGGATTAAGTAACTTTCCCCAAGATCATACAGTTAATAAGCAGCAGAAGTAACAAACAGAAGGTGACTCCTTCTAACTTTTGAACATTCTCTTAGAAAAAGGTAAAGAGCTATCTTTCCTTGAAATGGTAAAAAAAAAAATAAAAAAAAAAAAATAGTTACTTTCCCCAATTTCTTCATAGCCCTCAAAAGGAAATAACCACTATTTAGTTTCTTATGTATCTTTTTAGAAATTTTCATTATATTTAGGTGAGTAACCAGGCACCTCATTGTTTAAGGAAAAATCTGTCACACAGGTTTTATACGTAGAATATCTCTGGAAAGATACATAAGAAATTGACCATAGTATTTGTCTCTGAAGCAAAGAACTGAGGATATGGGGCAGGGATAAGAGAGTGATATTTTTTCGTGTGTAGTCATCCCTTGGTATCTGTGGGTGACTGCTTCCCATCCCTTGGTATCTGTGGGTGACTGCTTCCAGGTCCTCCTATGGATACCAAAACCTATAGATGCTCAAGTCCCCAATGTGAAACAGTGTAGTAGTTTATTAGTTATTTGCATATAACCATTCTCTCATACACTTTAAATAATCTCTAAGTTACTTATAATACCTATAACAGTGTAAGTACATTGTAAATAGAATTGCTATGTTGTTTTTAAAATTGGTATTATTTTTTATTGTTGTATTGACATTTAAAATTTTTTTTCCCCTCAAATATGTTCAACCTGCAGTTGGTTGAATCCAGGGATGTGGAATCCATGGATATGGAGGGCTGACTGCATACATCTTCCTGTACTATATGATTTTAATTTTTCTTACCATCTATAAACATATTATCTCAATTAATAAATGAAAAATAATAAACAGTATCTAGAGAAGGGGTTGGCAACCCACTGCCTGTTTTTGTATGGTCCTCAAGTTAAGAACGATATATACAATTTAATAAAATTTAAAAAACAGCAACAGGCCAGACATGGTGGCTCACACCTATAATCTCAGCACTTTGGGAAGCTGAGATGAGAGGATTGCCTGAGCTCACAGGTTTGATATCAGCTTGGGCAGCTTGGTGAAACCTCATCTCTACAATATATCAAAAAATTCGCCAGGCATGTGGAGTGTGCCTGTAGTTCCACCTACTTGGAAGGCTGAAGTGGAAGGATCACCTGAACCAGCAGGTCAGGGCTGCCAAGTGGCCCTGAGCATGCCACTGCACTCCAGCCTGGGCAATAGAGTTAGACTCCGACTCAAAAAAAAAAACCAAAACCAAAAACAACAACAACAACAACAACAAAAGATTATGTTGAATGGGACCCCCCCCACAAAGACTAAATAATTATTATCTGGCTGTCTGCAGAGTTTGCCGATTCCTCTTCTAGAGAAATATCATACAATTCTCAAGATTTTTGTTTTACGTTTTAAAAATACCATGCTTACCTGAGTGAACATTTCTTTGAAGGGATTCTTGACTGAAAAAAAGTCCAAATCAATATCTAACACAAATGCATCTCCTTTCTTCAAAATTTCTAGAATTTCCCCTGGTCCGACTGTAGTCTGACACTCCTGACTTTTAGAAGAACATGAACATGATGGTGCTTGGCAGGTTTGGCCACTTCTCTGTGTCACCGTGTCCTTTTTCAGTCTTTCTGAAGAAGAGTCACAGTGAGTGGAGGCAGTGTTTTCCGGATCTTCCAGTGCTAGCTTTGGCTTCTTAGCAGAAGACACTGTATCATTTTCTTCTTGATTGTTACACAGTTTATAAGGTTTTACCATAATTACATCCAACTGTAAAGGTTTTTGGTTCTCTAGCTGGTCTTCGGGTACATATAGACCATCACTTAGGAAGTAATGATCTGTACTTGTAACCCTGCATCAGAGGAAAAAACTATTTTAAAGAAGAATGGACAAATTAGCTGACACTTTACTCTGACATGGCAGACATAAAAGAACATATTTGACAAAGACTGTGAATTGCCTTTAATATTTGTACTTCCTGTTCTTCTGTAAAAATAGTAATCTCCAAATTCTTAGCTGGATACATGATTGACCCAAGACTTCATTTCACAGTCTACCTTGTAGTCTGGTGTGGCTACTAGACTAAGTTTTGGCCAATGGTTGTAATTGCACAGAGCTTTGTTGCACCCCTCCCTGGTGACTGGTATGTGAACACAAAAGTGGCAAATCACCTATGACTATAAGGACAAGTACAATACTCTAGAGATGACGGAGCAAAACGATAGGATGAACTAGGGTTCCCCAGACTCCTGAGTTGCCATATAAGGCTGGACTGTGTACAGTGAACTCTAATAAAATGAGGAAATAAAATTTCTTGTTTAAACCAGTAGTCCTTTGGTCTATCTCATGCCAGCCGAATATTTATCCAAAAAAAATCACTTAAGAGAAAAATTACATCTGGAAATAATTTCTCTTAATAGAAGCTCTCTCTGACATATTTCAAAGCTTCATTAAAGTCTATATGTATAACCATAATATTTTACACATGAAAAGTGACTCAAACAAATCCATATATCTGTAGAATGCATTTTACGAGGTGTGGATTTCTTTTTTTGGTTTTTTGAGTTGGGGTCTCACTCTGTTGCCCAGGCTGGAGCGCAGTGGCACTATCACAGATCACCATAGCCTCAAACTCCTGGGTTCAAGCAATCCTCCTGCCTCAGCCTCCTGAGTAGCTGGGACTACTTACCACCACTCCCAGCTAATTTTTTTGATTTTTTGCAGAGATGGGTCTCGCTATGTTGCCCAGGCTGCTCTCAAATTCCTGGGCTCAAGCAATCCTCCTGCCTTGGCCTTCCAAAGTGCTGGGAGGTATGAGCCACTGAGCCTGGCCAAGTTGTGGATTTCTGATATTAGATATATCAACAGGTTCTTAGCTTTTCAACCATATTATGCCTTAATAAGTACTTTGAACAGTGATGCCAAATACTTGTAGAAGCATGCCGTACCCAACTACAATAATGGTTACTATTTCCCACCTGCTTTTCCCTAGAATACACAGCTATAAATTAAAAAATGTATTTTCTAAAAAAAAATTAATGACAACATAAAATTAGTATCCAAGCCTATTAAAAACTGTATCATCCTAATAAAGACAAGGCTGTACCCTACAACCTAAATTTATATTCTTTTTATAACAGACATTTTATTTTGTGTTTGTTCTACAAACATATAAATATATGTCAGATTGCATACCTATGTGTGTGTGTGTCTCTTCCATAAATTTTTACTTGTAGAATTATGAGGTAATCAAAATCTTCCTAATATTGTTATCACATATGGAGTTTCAAATGTCTGTGTCATATTGCTCAAAATTATTTAATTTTGCAGGTTAAATTAGGCCTACTTACTCAATAAAGCCCCACCACTTTCATATATACCAGTAGCATATACAATATTTATATGTTGAGTCCTATTTATTTCTTTTGAATTAAGACTTACATAAATATAATTCTCATATACCACAATAATTTATTTGTATACATGATAAGATTACATACTACAAAAGTTAACTGTATCATTAAGGATAAATCAGAAGTAAAAAGCATAATTTTTAATGATAAAGACTATTTCATTTTCAATGTACTACTATTTCATCCAATTATCCTTCAGGTTCTAGAAAGTTATGGTTACACTGTCTAAAATATTCATCCCATTATAAAAAATTTAATGTCAAGAATATATTTGATACTTCTAGGTATTATTATTATTATTATTATTATTTTTGAGTTGGATTCTCATTCTGTTGCCTAGGCTAGAGTGCAGTGGCACGCTGCTCACGGTCACTGCAGCCTCGACCTGCTGGACCCAGGTGATCCTTCTGCCTCAGTCTTCCAAGCAGCTGTAACTACAGGTGTGTGCTACCACGCCCGGCTTATTTTTTTATTTATTGTAGAGATGAGATCTCACCAACTTGCCCAGGCTGGTCTCGAACCTCTGAGCTCAGGGAATTCTCTCACTTTGGTCTCCCAAAATGCTGGGATTACAGGCTTGAGCCACTACGCCTGGCTCACTTCTACGTATTATTATCAAAAGATACACAAAACACTGGTTAGGTAGCTTATATAACAAAAATAGCTTCACATGTAACTCAAGTCAGAAGGGTGCTTTAATTTAATTTATATTAAGTACTTACCTAAAACCAGTAATTAAGACAACTAAAGGCTGAAATCTACTTATTCAGCCATTGGATTTGTAAAAATACCAAAGTGAGAAAATTTTCCTTTTACTGCCAGTTGTTACATTCAGCAGACAATAGTTACATTGAATGGAAATAGTAAATGAGCCGGGTTCAGTGGCTCAGCCTGTAATCCCGCGCTAGGGAGGCTGAGGTGAGTGGATTGCCTGAGCCTGAGTGTTTGAGACCCGCCTGGGCAACTTGGCGAGACCTCATCTCTACAATAAATCAAAAAATCAGCCGGGCATGGTAGCACATGCCTGTAATTCCGGTTACTTGGAAGGCTGAGGTGGAAGGATCGCCGGAGCCCAGCAGGTCGAGGCTGTGGTGGCCGGGAGCAGCCACTGCGCTCCAGTCTGGGCGACAGAGTGAGACTCCAACTCAAAAAAAAAAAAAAAAAAACAAAAGTAAATAGTAAATGTACCACTGAATACATAAATCCATAAAGTACTTCAATGATTTAATGGAGTTAATCATCAATGGAGTTCAAATTTCTGAGGATGAAGATCATATTATTCAAAATCCAATTTGACCAGCAACAAAACATAAGTTGTACATGAAGAACGTCATGAAACTTGTTTCTGGTGTTTTGAAAACTCTTTTGGAGGAGATAAGGCTTGATCTAACCTGTGTGTAGAGATACTTATAGGGATCCAAAATAAGAAAGAAGCATTCAATTCATTTCATATTCACAAATTTAAGAAAATTACCTGATAGTTGTGGTAGAAGTGTCTTTGCCTACTAAAAAGTGGTGTTTACCCTCTTTGATTTGCTGAGCCCATGTGGGATGAAGCCATACTACTTGAGAAAAATGGCCAGCATAAACTGCAGGCATGATCCAATTTTCAATACTTAATTCTCTGGACAAGAGAAAGAAAACATTAAACTTTAGTGAATGATTTTTTTCTAAATGTAATTTCATCCACAACAATATTTTAAGCTAACAGTCACAAAGTGTGGCCCCTTGGGTGGCTCCTGAGACTTTTTCAGGGTGACCACTATGTCAAAACTATTTTCATAAAAATACTAATGTATTATTAGCCTTTTCACTTATTGACATTTGCAAAGATGGTATAAAAACAATGATGGACTGATGTCCTGAGATTAAACAAGGCAGTGGCACCAGACGCTGTTAGTAGTCACTGTATTCTTTACTACCAAGCACTAGCAAAAAAAAAAAAAAAAAAAGAAGTTTCATTTAAGAATGTCCCTGATTTTATTAAAGCTCCATTCTGAGTATACATTTTTAAATATTCTGTGTGGCAAAATAAGGAGTGCATGGAAAGTAGTTCTGTTACATAGTTTGAAGTAAAATAGTTGTCTCAAGAACAAGCACTTGTAATTGAACTGCAAGCTGAGCAGCTTTTTTTTTGAAAGAAGGAGTCATAAACTATGGTTAGTTAGACTTGAGATTGAATTGTTGGATTCTGTATTTCAGGTAAGCTTTGCGAAATTACTACTTGTCAGGTTTTGGTGTAATATCAAAGAATATTCACAATTATCTGAAAAAGCTATGAAAAAAACTCTTTTCTAATTATGTCTGAGTGCCTGAATTTTCATCATATGTTTCAGTCACAATGACAAATGGCAACAGACGGAATGCAGAAACAGATATGAGAATTCAGCTCTTTTCTAAAGGCAAAAAACATTGAAGAGATCTGTAAAAATTTAAACAATGCCACTTTTCTTAGTATATTTTTTGAAAATACAATTATTTTCCATAAAAAATCTTATTTATCTAACAGAGATTTGTTATTACTTTGAGATGAATACTTTATTTTTTCAGTTTTAATTTCAAATACAGCAAATACTGATAGCCATAACCTCAATGGAAAAAAAAAAAATCTCAATAGTTTTTAAGGATGAAGGGAATCCTGAGACTCAAAAGTTTAAGAACTGTTATTCTAGGATAAACTATGCTGTCTGCATTCCAGCTTCATAATTCTTTCAATTTCTAAAATATAAAACCTCTAAAAATAAAAGAGTAAGGATAATGGTAGAGTCACCATATTCTTTAAAATTAGTTCCCTGAATTGGGGTTTTGAAAAAAGTAAACTAAAAGTTAACAGAGTAGGCTAAAATAATCCACGAGTATATACTGAATCTCTTAATTTTTTAACAGGAAAATTACTGCTATATAACTGTTTATATTATACAAGCAGGGTGCATTCTAACAATTATAAACACACATACAAAGAGTCAGTGAGAATTTCAGGAAACTGTTGGAGAAGAGAGACTAGTTAGTCATTATTTAAAGATGTACTGAATATGATTCTTTCTGAAGGATGAAGTACAAATTACCAATTTCACTTCCATCTCTATGATTCTATATAACGGAAAGTTAACAAGATTTGTGACCTAAAAATAAACAAATTGGGGCCATTTATGTACCTAATTCTGACTTGTATCTGACATCTTAAAAACAAAGTTCTATATTCTAGATTGACATACATTGGCTGGACGTTTTTGTAAATGAAGTTTTTTTTTTTAAGAGAGATGGGGGTCTCCCAGGCTGGAGTGCAGTGCTATTCACAGGTGTAATCATAGCACACTGCAGCCTTGAACTCCTGGCCTCAAGCAATCCTCCCACCTTAGCCTCAGGAATATCTGGGACTACAGATGTCACCACATGTTCGACTTGTAAATAAAGTTTTATTGGAACACGACTACTGCCACTTGTTTACACAGTACCTATGACTGCTTTCACACTACAAGGGCAAAGATAAGTGTTGGAACAGAGACCATACAGTCAGCAAACCTTACTATCTGGTTCTTTAAGAAAAAATTTGTCAACATTTGTTCTATTAAATTTTTTTTTTTTTTTTGAGACAAGGTCTCATTATGTTGCCCAGGTTGGTCTCAAACTTCTTGCCTCAGGCCTCCAAAGTGCTGGGATTACAGGTGTAAGCAACCATGCCCGGCCCAACTTTTGTTCTAAAACAATTAAAAAGGCAAAAAGATGACAACAAAAAACCCCAAATCCATGAGTCTGGCAAAGTCTGTTTTCCATAATTGCTTAGCATCTACCACAAACTATTTTAAACACATAAAAGATCACTAATAAGATCACATATTACCCAAAGAGTGTTTCCTTATCAAACACGGTGTCCGCTGGCATATTCACAGGAATAAGGAGGTCTGGGTGTGAGTCGAAATGTACAAAACTTATATTATTGGCAGGAAGATGCTTTGACCCTATGGCCCGGTATATAAAAGGTAGAACCTGTAAAAGACACGTGCACACAATCAGAATGGGCACTGAAATCATGAACACACACTCAGCGGCAGACTGAAAAACAATGCTAAAATGCATATAATTTGAAGCATACCAACTTGTTAAAAAGCAGGAAAATTAAAGTTTGTTTATTGCAGATGGTTCAGATAATGATCTCAGGCATTATTTTTTACCTTAGAACTTCCAAATTGCACCTCTAGCTGATCTCCTGCCCCTATCTCAAACTCAACAGGCAATTTGGGGAAACAGACCAGGACAAACTACCGCTTAATGCCCGTTCTAGCATTAGCTATGTGCTCAAAGTACCCTAGGTCCGGAGGTCTTTATGGCATCCTTATGAAGGTGGGGCTAGGATACATAAGTGGTCTACAAGGCTCTTTCTCTTCTTACATCTTCTGTAGTTCTAGGTTTAATACCGAAATTGAAAGCACCGCCTAACCCACACTTTCTCATCTCCAACTCATAGACACTATGTCCAGGCCCTGGGAAACCCAAGTTTTTCCCCGTCCTCTTAACTTTCTCCACCAGTAAATCTCTCTTCGTCGTTTATATCCAGAGAACTCCCCGGGACCCATTAATGCTACTCCAAACAAATTTATTAGATCCATGGGCCTCCTTCGTTGACTTCCATAAGTCTAGATTCAGGCACAGATTTAGCTACTGTCAATTAGCACAGTCATAAAAATGGAAACATATTTTCGTGTTCATAAATGCGGGCACCGTGTTAAAAGATTTATGTACACAACACGCACACAATAATACTTCTAGCGGCCCATTTCACAGATCACAGCCCATGTTTCTGACATAAACTCTCTCCTCTAAACAGCAGGGCAGTGATGGAGATGTCAGGAGACAGGTGGAAGCCAGAGTTAACTGCAGGTCAAGGACAGGGGGCGCTGCAGCCAGGAATACTGTCCAAGTTCGAATCCCGACGCCACCAGTTGTCGGTCGTGGGATATTGGGCAAACCGTGTTAAATGAGTTGCCCGACTCTTCGTAGGCGCTCATTAAAGTCAGCTGTTTTTCCCTACAGTTAGCCGTTCTGGTGTTCCCCCGACAGCAACAGATCTCGGGCAGTTAACAAATTCTGGTTATCTTGTTAGTCACCAAAAATAAGGAGGCGCCGGCTCCTTGGCCCTCAGACTCAATGCTTCGGGCGATTCTGCTCCAGAGTCGGCAGCCGCCTGCTCACCTCCTGGTGATCCTCCACCACCCACACTGGGAGCTCGGGGTAGCGCCGGAGGCCAGCGCGCTCTCCCGCGGAGTCACTCATTTTTTCGCGCCAGTCAGCTTTGCAGCAAGCGTGTGGCACGGGGTGAAGACCCGGGAATGCCCGATCCACAGCCTCGCCGGGGCGGAAACGCGCGCTCACCCGGTTACGCTTCCGGATTGGAGAATGCAGAGGGCGGGGGGAGGGCGTCGGAGGATCTGCCGTATACGATTGGCTTAGACGTCCATCGCTCACCTGACGCGCCAATCATCTCGCACGAGGTCCTGCGGCGAGCATAAGAGTTTTCCCTCCCTTGGCCCAGCTTTCTCAGGTTTGCTTTTTAATTCTCTCGGTTTCCTGTTCCGGAGGCGCGGGCGGCGCCACTGTCTTGGAGGCTGCTGTCCTAACCTGGCTTTGCTCAGACGGCGACCTCGCGGCCCGAGAGGCTTTTGCAGGTAAAAGGGGCACCTGGCGGGTGTTGGAAGAGGGAAGTGTTTCCGAGCGTCGGGATTGAAACCAGGGCTGGGGCGAAAGGCGCCCGGGAGTTGGGGTCGGGCAGCCCCTCTTCAGATCTGCAGCTAAGGGCGACAGAGCGACCCTAGGCCCGAATCCCGCAAATTAATAGAAGTGAGAAAAGGAACCTTTCATTCATTCGTGGAGCGCGCGCTGTAGTGCAGGCCTGGGTCTCAGAGGGAGCGAGACCGGGAGCCCCGCGCCTGCCTAGCTGGGCTCGCTGTCTGGCGGGAGATGCAAACAGGTACATCGGCGATTACGGATCTGCCAGATGCAGGTGACTGGCCTGCAGGTTCACCTGGGTGAAGAATACAATACAAATGTAGTCACACTTAGCAACTCTTTTTACGCTGACTGACGTTCCTGGACGTGTTCACTGTTCAAAACCCTCGGTGCCTCTGCTTCCAAACGGCAACCTAGAAGTAGGCAGACGCAGAAAAAGTTGCTTTTCCAGTTGCAGTGAATTCCTTGACTTTTGAATTAAAGTTTGCATTCACAACACAACCTGACTATGCCTTTAATTTCATGGTCAGTATTTTTAGATTTTTCTGGCTATAGAAACCATCCATGAGGCCCTGGTAGTGAATGTTCAAATGTTACACACTGTACAAGAGTGTTAATGACCATGGTTGTTGCCTACCTCTAAGTTCACTTTCCGTTGTGTTTCCTTACGCCCCGAACATACCTCTTTTCTTGTGTTTATTGCAGCGTTTTGAGTTTCTTGAATTCTGCAGGCTGGGTGTCTTACTCATCCCACAGGGCCTGTGACAGTGCTTCATATGTGTGGGCTCATAAATGTTGCACGACTCAGTAAAAGGTCTGCTTTCCCTGTAGTTTTGATAATGCAAATCTGCTGTGGGTCTACATGGAAGGAAAATGTACAGTGGCAACATAGAAACATTTGATGAGACAGTAAGCATTTATTGACCACCTACTGTGTGCAGGATGCTCTGCCAGGGGCTGTGAAGGATACAGAAATGACTGTGAATCAAACCTTGTCATCGAGGAGGTAATAATCTAGTGGAGAAGTTAGACATGTGCACTCATGACTGTGATACGAGGCAATCTCTGGTAAGTGCTGCAAAAAGTAAGTATAGGACTAAGTTTAGAGGAAATGGGATTACTTTTTAAAGGGAATCAGGAACAGCTTCACAGAGGAGGTGGCATTTGAAATTGGTAGTTGGGTAGAAATTAACTGGGCAAATTCATAGGATAGAAGATTTTAAGAGAGAACTGGAGCAAAGAACAAGCTGAGTGATAGTATTTGGCATGTTAGTCACCTGGAAAAATCTAGGGTAATGGGAGATTTGTGGGGAAGGTAATGAGGAACAAGAATGGAAGGAGACATTGAGTCCAGATTCTAGGGTCCTAAACTTGACTGTTGGTGGTGAGTAGCCAGTGGTGGTGGGATCAGCTCTCTTGGCCCCAGGTTTATCATAAGGGCATGGGACTGGGTAATAATAATTAATCAGATATTATTTAATGCTCGTTATTTATTAAGCACGGTGGTTGTTATTTACTCTGAAAAATTATTTTCATGAGCCATTTGAAAGTCTGTTTTTAGTTAGAAAGACTTCAGAAAGATGTTTCTATGTTAAACCTTTTTGTACTCAATATTTATCTGAGTTTTTTTAAAAACATCCTGCTGAAGTTCAAGTATTTGGAAAATTATTCATGTTTACAGGGTCTTTCAATGGGAAGAGCTGAGAATGAAAATCAAGAATCATAATTATTAACAAGATGATGGTTATGTTTGAATTTGAATGCTGGTCTCACTGTGTTTTTTGTGTTTGATCTATGCTTACATATTTTTACACTGAAGAAGTGTATGGAGCAGGGAAATGATCTCCCCTCCACACACACAAACTTTTAGTAGATTAGAGATGGGCTATGCCCATGTTTTCAGTCTTTTTCTTTTTTTCTATGAGGGACACAGACAGTCAGAAAGTGGGAAAGCAGGATTTATTGAGAGGACAGAAAAGCTCCAACAGTGGGAGGGGACCTGAAGGGGTTGCCTGTTTTCAGTCTTTTTAGCTACTGATAGTTTTCAGTCAGCAAGACAAAGAGTAAGAACATCTTAAAATTTAGTTGGAAACTTTAATGCAGTTCAACATACTCTTAATTTTGTTAGTAAGTTAAGTGTATTGGAGAGTACAAACTCATTGTTAAGATAATTACAGCCAGGCCAGGTGAGGCGACTCACGGCTGTAAACCTAGCACTTTGGAAGACAGAGACATAAGAACTGACAGAGCCCACGGGTTCAAGACCAGCCTGGGCAATTTGGCAAGACCTCGTCTCTATAATAAACCAAAAAAATTAGCTGGGCATGGTGGCACATGCCTGTAGTTCCAGCTTACCTGGAAGGCTGAGACAGAAGGATTGCTTGAGCCCAGCACGTTGAGGCTGTGGTGGCTGCGAGTGTGCTATTGCACTCCAGCCTGGGTGACAGAGTGAGAATCCACCCTCCTCCCAAAAAAAGATAATTACTGAAATATTTTATAGCACTAGCAGTTTGGGAAATATGCTTTTGTGTGTTTATTCTTTCTGTCTTTTAGAGCTCACATTCTCTGTGGAAGATGTGACGTACCTAGACAGCACACTATAATGCAAGGCAATACATGGTGAGTGACATGATGGGAATGGCAGTAGTTTGGGAAGACAAGACAGGCTCACACACTGGTGCTGGGCAATAGAGGGTGGGTAGGATTTACACACATGGGGACAGGGAGAATGTACTCATTCTTTCAGCAGTGGGCACTGCACAACAGAAGGCTATGCACAGGGCTAGGAACACAGACCAGAATAGTTAAAAGTGTCCCTGAGCCTTGCCCTGATAGTTCTTGCAGTTCTGAGGCACAGGTCGACATTAAAGGTGACATTAGGTAATTAGTTGGTGAGTTGTAGTTATCATAGAACCTGCCAAGAAGCAGCACAGAGTGTGTGAAAACAAGGAACCTAATGAAGCCCTGGGGTCAGGGACAGTGGTTATAGAGAGGCCAGCAAGGATGTTATTGTAGTAGCCATGCAAGAGGTGGTGGTGTGAAATCTCAGATGAATTCAGAAAGTATGAAGCAGAAACAATAGGAATTCTTATTTTTTATATTTTTTATTAAGGTATGGTTGACAAATAATAGGAATTGTTTTTTGGTTTTTTTTTTTTGAGTTCGAGTCTCCCTCTGTCCCTCAGGGTAGAGTGCAGTGGCATGCTCATGACTACCCCAACATCGACCTGCTGGGCTCCAGCAATCCTTCCATCTCAACCTTCCAAGTAGCCAGAACTACAGGCACTCACTACCACGCCGCTAATTTTTTATCTATTGTAGAGATGAGGTCTTGCCCAGGCTGGTCTCGAATGCGTGGGCTCAGGCAATCCACTTGCCTCGGCCTCTCAAAGTGCTGGGATTACAGGCTGAGCCACCGAGCCCGGCCAATAATAGGAATTTAAAAATAAATTTTTAGTTAAGGGGTGAATAAAGGAGGAAAAGCTGTCAGGTGATTCCCTAGTATATGTCTTGGTGCTCATTAATGACGTCACTTATTGAGATGCTAAGGAAACAAGTGTTTGTCTTGGAGGTGATCATTAATTCTTTTTAGGAAATGTTATATTGAATTTGCGAGTCAGGCACTCAAGGAGGGAGGTTGAGTTGGCAGTTGATAGTGTGGGTCTGAAGTTTAGAAGTTGGTGGTTAGAGATGTAACTTTGGGAGTTATTGACAGATGGGTGGTGACTGAAGCAGTTAAAGTGGGTAGGGTCACTTTGGAAGAGAGAGCCAGCAGAATGCCCAGGCTGGACCCCTCAGGAATACCAAATAGTCAAAGGCTCCTAGCAAAGAAGGAGCTGGCATAGGAGACTGCAGAGGAACAATCAGAGGAGTAGGAAGGACACAGTGAGGGTGTTGCTTCAGGAAGCCAAGGAAAGCATCCATGAGGGGGAAGTGGTGGGCACTGGACTGAATGTTGAACAGAGATCAAGTAAGATGATTGGAAATAACCATTGATTTTCAAAATTAAGTAGGCACTTCATTTCACTCCCTGGTGTGGTGATGGAAGCGGAAGTTAAATTAGAGTGAGTTGGAAGTGTATATACCTTCATCTTAATCGGCTTGTGCTGCCATAACAAAATGCCATGGACTGGGTAGCTTAAATGACAGACATCTATTTCTCACAGTTCTGGAGGCTAAAAGTCTGAGATCAGTGTGCCAGCATGGTCATGAGTTTTTGGTGTATGCTTTCTTCCTGCCTTCTTACTGTATTCTCACCTGACAAAACAGAGGGGGGAGTCTTTTTTTCTCTACCTTTTAAAAATGAAGATACTAATCCCACCATGCGAACCCACCCTCATGACCTAACCTAACCCTAATGACTTCCCAGAAGCCCCATTTCCATATAATATCATACTGGGAATTAGGGATTCAACATATAGATTTTGAGAGGGACACATTCAGTCCACAGCTACTTTTTCAGGTCATTGACTGCAAAGGGGATGAGAGTTAAGGTTCAAAGTCAAGGGGTACCTGGAGGCCAAGGAAAGTACTTTATGTTGGAGTAGACTTGAGCACTTTCAAATGCCGACCTGAAGGGTCTGATAGCAGGGAGAGGTGGAAGATTATACAAGGAGGGTGGTAATCCGAAATACACATTTGGGGATAGGATTCAGAGCACTTGTGTGGGCTAGATGTTGTCAGGGAGGGGGAAATGGGAGAGGATGGAGTTGGATGCTGATAGGTTTGTAGAAATTGCAGAACAAGTTGAGGAAGTTCTCTTTTGATGGATTTCATGTTTCTGCTGGTAGGAGATGAGTTATTTGTAGGCTGTGATGAGGGAATAGAGTATGGGGAAAGATGTGGAAGGTTTTTCAGTAGTTATGGTGAATAGTTTGAAAGTAAGACGGTTGTGGAAGCATGCCAGGGGAATGGTTTGACAACCTGGTGACCGTGAATTTATATGGGCATCAACTGGGTATTTTTCTGGTGAGCCTCCCGAAAACAAATTGTAGGGTCCTTCTAAGGTTGAGGTTTTGCCAGGTTCTTGTGACTGAAGTAGAGAGGGCCAAAGGACTTTAGAGTAGTTAGAAGTGAGTCATTGAGAGGCTGGGCAATGGAGTCTACACTGAATAGGGAGGAAGGGGAATAAAAGAAGATGCTGGTCCAGATTTGTGTGGACCTCACATAGTGAGGTCAGAATTGGAGGAGAACTTGAGCAAGGACATGATAGCACATGGTTAAACAATGGGATGTCGAATTTGTCACTTTGGACGTGGAACAGCTTTAAGGAATGACCAGGTCCTAGGACTGACCATGGCGGTGGGTTGAGTGGCCAAGACCGGGAACGAGGACTTTATTGGCCTTGAAGAGTTTCAGATATTGGCAGGAACCCAGTATTAAATGGATGGACTAAGGGCCCGCAGCCTAAAAGGTCTGTTAGTTGCTCATCAGGATGGTCAGGCATTTCTGAAACCCCATTTACATAGTGATGGGTGTTTTTTTAACTTGTTCGTTTTTCTTTTCTCCAACAAAGTCATAGAATGTCGTTCCATCCAGGACGAGGGTGTCCTCGAGGACGAGGAGGACATGGAGCCAGACCCTCTGCACCAGCCTTCAGACCCCAAAATCTGAGACTACTTCACCCTCAGCAGCCTCCTGTGCAATATCAATATGAACCTCCAAGTGCCCCTTCCACCACTTTCTCGAACTCTCCAGCCCCCAATTTTCTGCCTCCACGACCAGACTTTGTACCCTTCCCTCCACCCATGCCTCCATCAGCACAAGGTCCTCTTCCCCCTTGTCCAATCAGGCCCCCTTTCCCCAACCACCAGATGAGGCACCCCTTCCCAGTTCCTCCCTGTTTTCCTCCCATGCCACCACCCATGCCCTGTCCTAATAACCCCCCAGTCCCTGGAGCACCTCCTGGACAAGGCACTTTCCCCTTCATGATGCCCCCTCCTTCCATGCCTCATCCCCCACCTCCTCCAGTCATGCCACAGCAGGTCAATTATCAGTACCCTCCGGGATATTCGCACCACAACTTCCCACCTCCCAATTTTAATAGTTTCCAGAACAACCCCAGTTCTTTTCTGCCCAGTGCTAATAACGGCAGTAGTCCTCACTTTAGGCATCTCCCGCCATACCCGCTTCCAAAGGCCCCCAGTGAGAGAAGGTCCCCAGAAAGGCTCAAACACTACGACGACCACAGGCATCGAGATCATAGTCATGGACGAGGCGAGAGGCACCGATCCCTGGATCGGCGGGAGAGAGGCCGCAGTCCTGACAGGAGAAGACAGGACAGCCGCTACAGATCCGATTACGAACGTGGGAGAACGCCATCCCGCCACCGCAGCTACGAGCGAAGCAGGTAAGCTGGATATGTGGACTTTAATAAACTGTAGAGGCGCAGCACAGTTTCCACTATGACAACAAAGAGGGTCTAGTAGTGCATTTTGATTTATAAAAGGAAAGAAAGCATGTTCTGGACTCTTCAAGATGAAGAGACAACTGACAAGTAAATAAGTGATGTCAGACAAAAATCGCTTTTGAAAAGCATTCCAAAATTATCAACGTAGATTCAGTTCAGTGACTATAAGCCTTTTACACTATATAATACAGTTGACATTTTAATGATGGTCCTATGACATGAAAGCTCTTTTCTTATTTTTTGTGTTGTCATAGATTGAATTATGTTCAGTGTGATGTAATCATCATATTAAGTTACAGCATTTGAGTTATTTTGGAATTGGTGATCGGCATATGTTACCAATCAAAAATCCAATAACCAGTTAACAGAACTTTCTGATTTTTAGGATAAGTGGAAGTTTATTTTATATTGTTACCTTCTTTGTTTCTTTATAAAATGAAATAAGATGAATTACACATCATCCAAGTTATAGTTTTCAAAATAGTTTTTAAACTGATTTGTTGCATTGAAACATATTCATTCTAAAGAAGGTTGTATTTAAAAAATATTATTCCATCGTAGATTACATTTCTTTTTTTCTAAAGATCAAATATCTGTAAATATAAGAGAAATAGAGTTTCGAGGAGGCATTCTTAAAACTGGGATCTAAATCGAATTCTCTGAAGTTATATATACAGTTTTATGGATGTGCATGATTTTCTATGAGAAAGCTTACTTCAGATTCTCAAAGTAGTGGGCATGAGTCTGTAATCCCCAAAGGCCAAAATACATTGGTTTATATGAAAAAATAAAAGATAACGGTGGTACTAATATTTATTTGTGTCTTTAGTGAACTCTCTGTCAATGAAGAGTTAAGTTCTTCAGTTGTCAAGCTGATAATGGCATTTCATTTCTCTTTCCCCTGTAGTGTGCTTACCTTCATTGTCTGTGGAATGTCTATGCTAAAAGTGTTTGAGCTCTCAGACCAGATCACTTCACTCCATGGGTTTGTTGGGAGCTAGTCTTGGCTCCTGCTGTTGCTCCACAGTTGATTTCCAGAACCAGTTCACATATCGGTTTCTATGCTTTTCTCATGGATCCATTGATTTGATTCTGTCAGAGCATTTTGCTAGTAGGTGATAGTGTTCATTCTCTGCCCTGAAGAGGGTGACTAGTGCTCAGAAGGTTTGGAAGGAAAATGCATGCTTGCCTCTCTCTGATGGCCAGGTGAAAGGTGGAAAGGAATGTTTCCTGTAGAGATGACTGATGTCTGGTGGGCCAAAGCTGAGTGAGAGTTGGTAGCCTTCCAAAAATCTTTTCGACACAGACTAATTCTGGTCAATATTGTCCTTAATTATTTAGTGATTGACTAGTTGGCAGAGAGAGGCCTGTGATAATTTATTTTACAATATTATAGCAAAAATCCCAAACAGAAAAGAGTTTGTAAATTGTTTTCTTCATACTTAAAGTGATTTCTAATAATCTTGTTTCTGGGAAAACATTTTGCTGCAAACATTCTAGGTTTTGTTTTTCTTTCCTTCATTTTGAGATGCTCTAATGATGCTTCATTTTTAGAGGAGTTGTTAGAATCGGCTGTAAATCCCAAATTCTTCCACTGAGGTTTAAACTTTTGAGTTAGGTATTTATTTGAAGAAACTCAGATGTTCTCTAACAGAGCATCTCAGTAAAATCAAGTGCCACAAGAATGACCTCTAATCTGCTTTATGCTAGACCACACTCCTTTATGATGAGGCTTTATATTTTTCTAAAATGGTATCTATTGTTATTGGATTGTTTTATAACATGCTTGGGGCATTTGCCCTGGAGCTGCCTTAGTGTCACAGCCTTATTATAATTGACCTCCTTTGTGGTATTAGACAGAGTGTTAGTTATCTGTCTTATATATGGAATGCTTCTGTGAAACAGACATGTGGCACATGAAGTCCTAATATAACTACTAGAAGTACGTTGGGGAAAACAGAAACTTCATAAATTCGTATATTGAAATTGTGTTCATGCAAATTCTGTGGTCTGTCCTCTGGTTGCTCTCCCCTGCTCCTGGGGTCAGTGAATTTGTCCTTTTATAAATTCCACCTTCCCTCTTTTTCTCTTCCTTCAAGGAGGAGAAATGTGGTTGAATAGCAATTGCAAGATCGTTTTAGGGTGAAGTATTTTTAGAAAATGTTTGTGAAGAAGCAGATTATGTATATTTGTTATCATGAAAGATCAAGGTTACTCTAGGAAATGAGAAAAAAAATAGCACCAGGCAGATGTTGCAGTGTGGTATGGAGGCTTGCAGTGGGCTTTGCCAAGCTGAGTAGCACTACCACACAATTCCCATGGCTGCCCTGGTGACAGTAAGTGTGTAGCCATTGGAGGCCTGATGTAATGTACCTAAAGATTATCTTAAAATTTGCAAATAAGGAAAAATCTTGGGAAAAGTAACACAAATTTCATTTTTCTTGCTTTAAATGGGTTTGTTTTATAGTGTTACTAATGTGACTTATATCCAAGTTGATCTTTTCAATTCCTACCCACTCAGAGGTAGCAATAATTATCAGAAGTGTTATTGTTTCTTTTTCTTTTTTGTTTTTTTGAGAAAAAGTTTCACTGTCACCCAGGCTGTAGTACACTGGCATGATCACAGCTCACTACAGCATTAAATTCCTAGGCTCAAGTGATCTTCCTGCTTTAGCCTCCCAAGTGTCTGGGACTACAGGCATGTTCCCCCATGCCCTGGCTAATTTTTCTAATTTTTGTAGAGAGACAAGGTCAAGGTCTTGCTTTGTTGCCCAGGATGGTCTCAAACTCCTGGCCTCAAGTGATCCTCCTGCCAGCATCCCAAAGTGCTGGGATTACAGGCATTAGCCACTGTGCCTAGCTAAAAGTGTTATTTTATTTTATTTTTGAGTTGGAGTCTCACTCTGTTGCACACTCACGGCCACCCCAGCGCTGACCCACTGGGCTCCGGTGATCCTTCTGCCTCAGCCTTCAAAGTAGCTGAAACTACAGGCACGCGCTACCACGCCTGGCTAATTTTTTTATTTATGTAGAGATGAAGTCTCGCCAAGTTGCCTGGGCTAGTCCAGAACCCACAGGCTCAGGGAATCTACTTGCCTCGGCCTTCCAAAGTGCTGGGATTACAGGCTGAGCCACCAAGCCTAGCTGAAGTGTTATTCTTAAATGCAAAATTTTATTGGCTAGTTGTTAAAAAACAAGCAAAAATTAGAAATAACCTCTAATTAAGAGTTTTTATTTGGAAATATAGGCAATCCTTTTTAACAGTCATGCCATTACTAATTAATTACATGTATCTTTGACATGTGACACCATTCACTAATTTCTATATGGTAATTGAGGTTTATTGCCTAAATGTAAACTGTGATTTTAGATATGTATCCGATGAAGAATGTAGAATCCTAAGCTCTGGCTGTTTTATTTTAGACAGCCGGTATATACCTCAGGATTGTGTGTGTGTCAAAAGCATTGTTCAGGGGAGCCTTTCTTGAGAACAGGGTACTCTTTAAGTGGAAAAATAATTTCTGTGTTAATATCTAAGCACTCATTGATCTCTTAATTTTGTAAGTTTTGATTTTAGTATATCAACATGTCTTCTATTTGGTCATAGGCTGGGGGATATTTTTGAGTTTAGACATTTTTATAGTCTTCTTGCTGGATTTAGGTTCATATAGTATTTTTGTTTTCCATTCTAAGAGAGTAGTTACTTTCCTTAGTTTTGTAGTTCTGATTCAAACACACCAGAGTTGAGTATGTTCCAGATCATCATTGTTAAATAGGCTCAGAAGCTGCTGTTATTATTATTAAATTCTAGTTTTACATTGGAACCTTTTAAAAATCCCTCCTGTTTTTTACATCAGGCAAGCCCAGTGTCTTCATTTAGAGTTTTTTCCAGATCAAAAATAGTGTTGAAGTGACTCAGTCATGGCCTCATGACGGTTGGTGATAGCTAGAACTACAACTCTGGCCTATAACCCTTGAGAATTAAGCCCTCTTTCCTTGTCCTAATGTTTACTACAAAAGCTTTATAATTTGCATTTATTTGATGGGTGAGATTGAGAGTTTTCTAGAAATCAATAAGATGCAGAGTCCTTTAAAGTTTTCCCTCTAGGTTAAATATTCGAGGATTGGCTGACTGGAAGGTTTTGAGAGAAGATTATGAAATTTTCATTATTGCTCAGCATCACGTGTGACTTCTTTCTTTAGAGAAAACTGCACAAATTGTCCAAGTTAGTTAACTTCTGTAAAGTGAAGGCTCCTTTATCCTCTAATAAATTAAGGAGGCATAAAAATGTCCTCTAGTGAGTAGTACCTGAAAAATTCTTAGATATGGTCCATTTATTTAGAAGATGAATTCAGTGAAAAGAGATGGTGTTTTTGAGTCTTTCTGTTGAAAACAGCTCTGTGTATTAATTCCTTTAAGAGAGCGAGAACGGGAGAGACACAGGCATCGGGACAACCGAAGATCACCATCTCTGGAAAGGTCCTACAAAAAAGAGTATAAGAGATCTGGAAGGTAAGCAAGGAGTTGACACTGAAAGAAGTCATAGGATTATCTCCTTGATTTCAGATATTGTTCTTGTGCAGAGTATCAGCCAAGTCTTCATAATAGCCTCAGAGTCTGTCCAGCATGACTTGTGAAAAGCTAAAGCAGCCTGTAATTTGAAAGCCTTTACTTTGAAGATGTATTGCCTATGCACCAGGAAAATCTTGATAAACTTCTAAAAATTAGGAATTATACAGACCACTTTTCTGACCACAGTGCTATAAAACTATATATTAATTCAAGTTATATTTTAAAATCTTGGAAATTCTTAAATTTACTTGCTCTTAAATTTACTTGTTTCAGGAAAAAAGAGCAAAACTACTGTCATATTTTCTTTAGAAAAATGACATTGAGATTGGTACAACCCAAAACTTAAAGTGTGTAGCCAGTTATATATCCAGAAGTAAATTTGTGTGGTCTTATATTATGATAATTAAGAATAACATTTTAGAGTCTGACAGATTTGGGGTTGATTATTTGCTCTCCCAACTTTGATATTGGAGAGAGTCATCCATGTCTTCTTCTGTCAAATAAGGACAGTTATATGAACCTTATTGAGTGGCAAGGGGTCACTAAGATAATACATGTCAGAATGGGGCCTAAAGTACATGCCAAATAAATGTTAACTATATATATAATTATTATCTGAGTACTTGGCTTTAGAAATTGGTAGAGTATTTAAAAAGCAGTAAAAAGGATTTAAAAATAAATTAACGACATTGAGCTGAACTATAGCAATATAACCTTTGTAAATAAATGCAAGACTTGGTTCTTTGAAAGATCATGCAATTTAAAAAGGTGGCGAATCAATAAAAGAAAAACAACAGTAGATTTGAGAAAGTATATTTTTACCGTACTGAAGTAGATTTAAAAATTATAAAACAGTATAAGGGCAGATATTTTATTTAAAAAATTAAAAACTTGAATGTGATGGGTTGATTTCTAGGAAAACAAGAATTATAAATTTCAAACAAGAAGCAGAAAACTTTAATGGGCCAGTACCTATGGAAAAATTATAAAGCTTGGTTTGTACCTCCTCCAAAAAAGTTTTAAACTGTTATAGAGCACTAAAGAAGTTAGAAGGAGAGCTTAGCTCATGCTTGGGTAGCAGGAAAACCAGATGGCAAACCTAACCAAGGAAAAGAGAATTGCATGGCAATCTCTCTTACAAATATGGATATAAAAATACTAATGAGGATGCTAGCAAGTTATTTTCAGTAGTGTGTTAAAATAACCAAGTCCAAGATTGCATGGATAGATAGGTTAGTGTAAGAAAATCTGTAATTCTTTGTGTCAAAATCTGTAGGATTATCTCAGTATCTGCCAATTAGGTATTTAAAATAAAACCAGCATCCATTTATGAGTTTACATTAGTAAATTGGGAATATTAGCAGATTTCATTCACATCATGAAGAGTGCTGTCTCATCATGAGCATGATTAATGCTGTCTCAAAAGAGCCAAATTTAGTGTTGAAACCTGGAGGCCTTCCCACACAAGTTAGACAAAAGACTAGGAGGTCCTTTTTGCTATCTATTGTTATCGAACATCATTATAACTTAATCAACATGATAATTAAAAGCATGATTTTTTTGTGTCCCAGGCATTCTACTCGGTATGGGTGATATAGTCATTAACAACTTTACGAGAAAAAGTATATTTTTAAGTACTGTAAGTGTTTTTGATAGGACAATTACATGTTGCTCTGGAAACACAGCAGTGAAAAACCCAGTCTAGGGTAGTCCTAGAGAAATGGGTATTTTCCTGATACCTGAAGTATGCTTAGGAGTGCCTTGGGGAAGGCGCCTGGTAGGGGAAGACAGACAAATATGTGTGAACGTTGCACTGTAGAGGTTGTCAAACCTGGAGGCTGAGAAATCAGTTTTGAAGGCTTTTATAAGTAATCCACATGAGAGAGGATTGGGCCAGGGCAATGACAGTGGTAATGGGGAAATGTAGAAGTAAATGAGATAGAGTCAGTAGGACTTGCTAACTGATCAGATGTATTAGGGGCGAGGGAAGAAGAGTCGACCGATCACCTTGGGATCTGTGTTCCCTATTGAGGATACAAGACACTAGGAGGCAGGAAGGTGAATTCAGTTTGGGGCATGTGAATTTTAAGAATCTGAGACAGTCAAATGGAATTGTGTAGTAGTTAATTTAATATACACGTGTAAAGTTCAGAAAAGAGATCCCAGCTGGAAATACCTGAATGCTGTGGATTTAGATGAAATTGATTAGGAAAGGTGAGACAGGGTCCTGGGGAGGAGGATGAGCAGAGGTAGGAGAAAAGACAGCGTATTGTGTTGGTGAACATTATTGAGGACCTATTTCAGGTGGGTGATTTTTAATGTATAAATGCTGGAAATTTTCTTGGTCCAGTGGTTTCTTCTCTAATGCTTGGTAGCTTGCGGAGCAGGCAGACGTGGGTTCTGTGAGCTCTAACTAATGGAGTAGATGAGAAAGTGAAAATTAGTGATGGAAATATTGTAAAGAGGGAGAACTTGCCACAGTTTGCAATGTAGCATATTGGTAAGAAATAATTTGAAGTTTGGGTTTTGGTGTGCTTGAGTCACCTAAAAAAAGATGTTTTTATTCCTCTTTTGAAATGCTCTTCTCAAAGTGTTTTTAAAGATGAATACTGATTGATATTCACAACAATCCTGACCATCTCTCATGTCATTCAGGACAGCTGCTTAGAGCGGGTGGGGTGAGAATGTCTTTTGTCTGTGTTTTTTGACAATAATAAATATTTGGTGGACTGTTTAAAGAACATATCAAAATGTCTGTGTCAATCATATTAGCATTTTACTACCACTTCCAAGGTTTATGATAATAGGTGACTAATTTCTAAGGCTGTTTCTTCCTTTGTACGGAATGTTAATATCTGCCTTTGAGAGTTCTTACAAAGATTAAATGTGAGGATGTCAAAAAAAAAGTACTTAGCAGAGTGTCAGGCTCATAGTAAGCACCAAAAACAAAATGGAACCACTAGGAGCTAAGAGTTGCCGTTATTAGCTGATGGTATTTTAATACCCTTTTAAAAATACTAGGAGTACCTTGTTAGAAAATGTACTGTGAAAAAAAGTAAATTAAAATTTAACAAGAAATTAAATTAATTAAAATTAAATATCTTGTAATACACTTAAATATGTAGGACCAATAAGAAGAAAACTGTAAAATGTAACTTACAACAAAGAAGGTGATATAATGAATGGAGAGCATTCCATATTCTCATAGTGAAAGACCAAGTTATAAAAATACTTGTTTTCTTCAAAATAGTTATGTACCACATGATATTTTGGTCAACCGTAGACCACATGTATGATTGTGGTCTTATAGGATTATAATACCTTATTTTTACTGTACCTTTTCTATGTTTGGATATGTCTGTATACACATGTACTTGCCATTGTTTTACAGTTGCCTTGAATATTCAGTACAGTAACATGTTGTACAGATTTGTACCCTAGGAGGAACAGGCTATAAGGCCCAGATATTTAGTGGACTATACCATCCAGGTCTGTGTATGTACACTTTTATATTCACTCAGTGACAAAAGCAGCTAAGGACACATTTCTTAGAACATATCCCTGTCATCTTTAAGCAACACATGACTATAATTCTAATGTAACTTGAGTTGAAGTACTGGCTTTAGAATTTCATAATGATTCTTTAATTTTTTTTTTGCAATAGAAGTTAGGATAATGAGGAAAATAATATAAGGAGACCTACTTTAGTAGTATCAGTGCTCTGGAAATATATAATAATTTAAAAATTTGACATGGGTATAAATAGGTCAGTGAAATAACTATTGATTAACAGTCAGATATACATAAAATTTGTGGCTAATAGTAATATATAAAGTTAAATCTTATAAATAATAAAGTTGCTTTTTTCTAGATCAGAGGAGAAACTGGCAATTGGTGAGCAATTTGGAGGAAAAAACTGAGATTAGATTTCTGCCTTACATCATGGAAAGAGAGAATTTTAAAATTAGTGTTAGAAATATCTGAAGAAAATATAAAATATTTATTTAAACTTGGAATGGGAAAATATTTCCAAGCTAAACACTAAGGTAGGAAGCATATATAAAAAAAAATCTCGGGCCAGGCACAATGTCTCACGCCTGTAATCTCAGCACTTTGGGAGGCTGAGGCGAGAGGTTCGCCTGAATCCAGGAGTTTGAGACCAGCCTTGGCAACATGGCGAAACCTCATCTCTACAATAAATAAAAACATTAGTCAGGCATGGTGGTATGCATGTGTAGTCCCAGCTACTTGGGAGGCTGAGGTGGAAGGATTGCCTGAGCCCAGCAGGTTGAGGCTGTGTTAGCCATGCACTCCAGCCTGGGTGAGAGTGAGATTCCGACTCAAAAAAAAAAAAAAAACCCCAAAACTCTAGATTTGTCTTTGTAAAAGTTATATGTGTATCAATAAGCAAATAAATAGAATTAAAAACAAAAAATCTAGAAATAGTTACTGTACATATGACAGGACAATTATCTTAGTAAAAATTTTCAATACATTTTAAAAAGACCATAATCCTAATTTTTAAAATATTGGCATAGCATATGACCAGAATGTGAACATGAAATGTATTCATTTCAGTATTGGTAAAATACTGTGTATTAAAGGTAAGTGAAGTACTTTGTCAAGATGGCAAAGATTGAAGACAACCATGGTGATAGGATGTGTGGAAATGGAAGCTCACACAGGGTTTTGCTGGTAGTCTAAACTAGTACTACCAATCTGAGAGAGAATCCTTTAAAAAAAAAAGTACACACATTTTGGGAAATAATCTGACAAGTGTGCAAAGAACACAAATGTGTTCATGATAGCATTGTTTATGGTGGAAACAAATAGATGTTAACAACCTAAATGGCTGTAGTTGGGTTTGTTAAATTATGGTATATACCTATAAAATAATAATATGCACCTATTAAAATACTTCAGGTGAAGTCTTGAAATAGAAAGATGATTCCTGATTTACTATTGAATGAGAAGGGCAGGCTATCAAATTCCTGTTTTTGTTGTTGCTAAAACATGTATTTACATATATATTCATATATGTTTTATTTTTTATTTTATTTTATTTTTTAAGTGAGAAAGCAGGATTTATTGAGAGGACAGAAAAGCTTCCACAGTGGGAGGGGACCTGAGGAGGTTGCCCTCAGATATATGTTTTAAAACATTTGTAAAGTGTATGGTTATTTCTGAGTGGTGTTATGGATGCTTTTTATTTTATTTTTGTCTGTGTTTATACTTTATTATTTTCTACAATGAACATGCGCATTTTACTTTGACATTAACTTTTTTCCCCAGCAACAAAACTAATCGTGCATATTTTAATATTTAGAAGTTAAATAAATAATCAGTATGTGTAATCTTTCCAGTCCCTCCCTCACTACCAGTATATATACCTACATACACCTACACACACAGACTTTTCATGTTGTAAAATTAGAAGTTAATGGGAGAGTTAATAAAAATAGTTTATTTGTTCCTTTGATCTGGATGTAGACTCTTTTGGATAGGAGTAGCTTTGCTAGTGGAGTTGTGGAGGCTACCAGTGGGTTTAATGAAGCAGTAGTTTTCTTTAACTGGGTTCTCAAGGTCTGTATGTTCTACCTAAATTTCTAAGGGTGAAATTAAAACCAACCCTATAGGTTTTTCCCCTCAAGTACATCATGCACAGGATGACTGCAGATTTCAAGCTCCAGGAATTCAAGGAGACAGTTCTTTTCTCATCCTTCTTTATTAACTGAGTTAATATTAGTGTTTGTGGGAATCAGAATCGGGCAAAATGGTTTTCTAAGTAGTGATACCCAAGCCTGGACTTAAAAAGATGGTTAGGGATGATGTAACTGGCTTGCTCTTGGATCATAGTTCTTAGGCTAAGTTTATGGCCAAATGGACCATGCTTTGTGAATTTTTTTTTTTTTTTGTCCTGGCAGAGCAACATGTGGAGGATTCAAAACAAGTATTCTCACTGCTGAAATTGTCCATATGTGGAGTTTCCCAAACATTTCCCAGATATCTTTTTCTTCCAGGAGTTACGGTTTATCGGTTCCTGAAACTACTGGATGTACACCAGAATTACCTGGAGAGATTATTAAAAATACAGATTCTTGGGTCCCACCCCCGGAGATTGTGAATCAGTAAGTAGATCTGGGGTGGGGCCTGGGAATTTGTATTTTTAAACAAGTAAACTTCAGGTGATTCTGATGCCACCAGACTGGTATTTGGGAATCACTGACCTAACAGAAGTAAATATGGTAGCTTGGCATAGTATTTGTATTTTAGGTAAAAAATGTACCAAATAGGTAAGATAGAATAGTTTTTATGATGGAAGGGTATTTTAAGTAATTAACCTCCTTTCCTCCTTCTGAAGTCGTTCCCCAAGTAGGGAGAAGAAGAGAGCTCGTTGGGAGGAAGAAAAAGACAGATGGAGTGACAACCAGAGCTCTGGTAAAGAGAAGAACTATACCTCAATCAAGGAAAAAGAGCCTGAGGAGACGTTGCCTGACAAAAATGAGGAGGAAGAAGAAGAACTTCTTAAGCCTGTGTGGATTCGATGTACTCATTCAGAAAATTACTACTCCAGTGACCCCATGGATCAGGTGGTAGGTCAAAATCAGGAGAGAAGCTGGAGACCAGAGTTCCTCTACTTTGGCACTGATGGCCTTGTGGGCCAGATAATTCTTTTTCTCCTGCACTGTGCATTGTAGGGTGTTCAGCAGTATCTCTGGGCTCTACCTGTTAGATACCACTCGCTCCCCTTCCCAGTTATGATAACTAAAAATGTCTTCAAATATTGCCAACTGTCCCCTGGGGGAAAAAAATCACCCCCAGTTGAGAATCACTGCTATAGACAAAGCTGTTTGCCAAAGGCCAAGAGTGTTCATTAGGTTAATTGAACTATCCTCTATTTACTTTTTTTTATGACACTCATGCACCTCTCCCGTGTAACTAGTTTATGCAGTTTGTGGTGTGTGTATGTGTATATATGTATGCTTCTCATAAAATGGGAAATAAGGAAGAATTTGTTTGTCTCCTTGAAGTATATTCTTGACCAAAAGATCACCAACTGTGTGACATTTCCTGTGTGTGTTGTCTGGTAGTTTTGTGGAAGTGGAGCCCTTGTGTCTATAGAGAGCACTCCTAATGCACCTGCTGCTGGGGTGATTGCATGTGATGCTGCAGCATCTCATAGTGGTGGGATAATTGTACTAGATAAATTAGAGCACTTTTAAGTGACACAGAGAAGGGAAAGCTCACATATTGAACACTTTCGTGGTGCTGGAACTTTACTCCATGCTTCTCATATTAATTAATGCTCAAAACATCCCTGGCAAGGAGGTATTCTGTCAGTTAGGAATGCTGCTGGAAGTAATGATATCTGAGTAAGTGAGATCTACATGAGCTGGGTGCATTTTTTCTTATAATCGGGCATCTGCAGGTCTTCTTGAGCATTCTCCACAGGTACAGGATGATGCAGCTCTCACAGGCCTCACATTCTTACACACCATAGGACATCCATACATGCAGGACGCTGAGGGCATGTTGGCTGGGGCATTCCTCTGGCACTTCGCCCAAGCTCCCCTTCCATCTCCTTTTCCCAGAACTGTGTCACAAGCTTACCCCAGGGATATGTTTTTCATCACTGCCTAAATGAAGTTCCACAAACTGCATGGCTTAAAACAACATACTTAACATCTCTCAGCTCTTGGAGGTCAGAAGTCCAACTTGGGTCTCGCCAGCTAAGTCAAGGTGTCAGTAGGTCTGTGCTTTTTTTCTGGAGACTCTGCAGAAAAAAAATCTGTTTTCTTCCTTGTTCAGATTGTGACTGTAGGACAGAGGTACTTGTTTCCTTACTGGTTTTCAGCTGAGGGATATCCTTAGCTTTTAAGTGGCCACGTATGGACCTCTTTCTCCATCTTCAAAGCCAGTCATGGTCATCAGGTCCTTCTCATGCTTTGAACATCTCTTTCCTTTTCTTCTGCTGCATCTCTGATCCTTGAAACGTGACAGCATATTTAATATCTGGGGATTTGGACATGGACATTTTTGAGAGGGACTGGAGGCTCAGAGCGCCTTCCCTGAAATCAGGTGTTTTCTACCCAAATCTGATGGTATCATGACTCTGTTAGCAAGGAAGAAGGGAAGAATGACTGTGATGGATGTTATTATTCTTAAAACAACAATGATAAAGTCATTAAAATTTAGAGAGTTTATTCAGGCAGAGCTTTTTTTTCTTATTGTTATGGGTATGTTAAACTCCAGTGTAGAAGAAAGATTGATAAACACCAAAGACTGACATTTGCCTCTGAGTTTTGTGGTCTGTGGTAGAGAAAGTGGTGAGAATGTCAGAGCTATCCCAGTGTCATCAGGCTCAGCAGTGAGGTGGGGAATGAAGAAAAGCAATGATCCCCTCTTATGGGTTTTATGATTTACTTTAATTTTATTTTTACATTTGTAAGGTCTGATTTTTACATTTTGAGGCTACTGAGTCAAAGAGTGTGGACATTTAAAGTGATTTTCAACCTGGCGGGAGAGTGAGGGAAGTGGAGAACTTCCTTAGAAATGCATTACAGCATCCCTGTGTCTGTGGTCTGTGTTTGTGTGTGTGAGAGAGAAAGCGTGTGAGCATATTTGTGTTTGTTCTCATGTTTGTGGGGGAGGGGTGTGAGAGGGAGATTGAGGGTATATAGGATATTTCTTCTTGTTCATTGGATTGCTGTAAAGATAAGCTGTCAGTGATTTTTGGTAGGAAGTGTACATTCCCTAGGATGGTGCTAATGTCACTTGTCAGAATTTTTCTGAGGGTCATGGTTTTTAAAAAAAATGTCATATCAAAAGGGCATGGATACATAGTTCTAATATTTCCGAATGTTAGCAAAGTGTGTTTACCCTGGAATCTGTCAGCTATAAGTGTGTGTTTGATTCAGAGAATTATTGCCAACATTGGGCATTTTGTTTTTAAATGTTTGTTTAAATGAGGGTTGAGAAATGGCATCTTGCTGTTAAAACTCTTTGATTACTTGTGAGGTCTTATGAATCTTTGGTGTGATCATTATTGATATAGCTTCTAATATTGATCATTTATTTTTAAAAGGGAGATTCTACAGTGGTTGGAACAAGTAGGCTCCGTGACTTATATGACAAGTTTGAGGAGGAGTTGGGGAACAGGCAAGAAAAGGCCAAAGCTGCCCGGCCTCCATGGGAACCTCCGAAGACCAAGCTAGATGAAGATTTAGGTGAGTCAGAGTTTCCAGACCAAGACCCTTGCTCTTTTATTATGGCTTAATCTTGGACATTTGGGACATATTCTTAAGTCCCATGTTTAACTTTATTCTTTTTCATTCTATTTTTCTTAATTATGGTCAGCAAAACACATAGCAGTGGAACTTCTTTCCTTTTTTTAGTTGTAGTCTCACTCTGTTGCCTAGGCTGGAGTGCAGTGGCATGTTCACAGCCACCACAGCCTCGACCTGCTGGGCTCAGACGATCCTTTTGCCTCAGCCTTCCAAGTAGCTGGAACTTTATGTGCATGCTACTACACCCGGCTTATTTTTTGATTTATTGTAGAGACGAGGTCTCGCCAAGTTGCCCAGGCTAGTCTCGAAACCCTGAGCTCAGGTAGTTGTCTTACCTTGGCCTCCCAAAGTGCTGGGATTACAGGCTTGAGCCACCTCACCCAGCTGCCGTCTTTTTTTATTTTATTTTTTCTTAGTTTCATTCAGCAGAATAAGTCAGAGGTCTCATTTGCAAGGCATGCTAATATATGTGTCCTTTGTTATATAGTTATATAGTCAGAGGGGACCATAGTCCAGCATCCCTTCAAAAGCAGGAGCCTGTGCCCATGCTCTTGATGATAGGCAGGCAGCCTGCATCCTTGGCTCTCCCCTTCGCCAGGTGCACATGGTTTCAGGAGGATACAATGAGAATAACCCAACTATGTTTGAAGGTTTCTCTCTACTCACAGTTTCCATAACTATTTCATATTGTGGGCTTTTTTTTTTTTTTTTTTTCGTGTATGTTCTGAGGTTCCAAGTAGATGGTGAGATATTTTGAGGATGGAAATCACTTTTTACCACTCTGTGTCTTAAGTTCCTGACAGAATGCCACACACAAATGAGAATTCAGTGTGCTTTTCTCCTCTGAGGTTCCAAGTAGATGGTGAGATCTTTTGAGGATGGAAACTACTTTTTACCACTTTGTTTCTTTAGTTCCTGACAGAATGCCACACACAGATGAGAATTCAGTGTGTATTTACCTGTGTGTTTTTTCTAGCTCTTGTCTGCTTACCTTTATGATGTCTCTCACATGCTAAGAGACAGGATCCATAGTGGGTAAAAGTGGTGACTTGAGAGCCCAATGGCTTAGGTTCAAATTCTTGACAAATGACCTTGGGCAAGTGATTCCATCTCTCTGCCTCAGTTTTCCCATATGTAAAATAGGGATGGCAGTAGCGTCTCTGTCATGCAGTACAAGTAAACAAGCTCTTAAGTGTTGGATTTTATTATGCTGCTACTATATTAACCTCTTGTAGGATTAATCTAACTTTTAAAAAATGGTGGTAAAATACACATAACATAAAATTTACCATTTTAAAGTGTGTAGTTCAGTAGTGTTACGTACTTTCACATTGTTTGCAATCTCCAGTGTGCCTTTCATCTTGTAAAGCTGAAATTCTGTATCCAGTAAGCAGTAACTTCCCAGTCTCCCTTCCCCCTAGTGGCTGCCACCATTCTTTCCATTTCTATGAATTTGACTGCCTCAGGTATATGATATATGAAGGGGGACCCCAAAAACCCTGGAATCTATTTATAAACAATTGTGTATTCTTACACGTTTAAACTTAAGTCACCTTTCAAGTAGTCTCCATTTGATGCAATACACCTTTTGAAATATGTTTTCTACTGCTCAAAACAGTTTTTGAGCTCATTGATTTTGATGCCTTTTAGTGCTACTGCTGTTTTTTTGTTTCACCTCTTTCACATCAGCAAAACCTTTCCTTTTGAGAACTTTTTTCACCGGGGAAACAAAAAGAAAAGTCACTAGGGGTGAGATCAGGTGACTAGGGAGGGCGAGGCAAGGGAGTTATGCTGTTTTTTGGTTGAAAACTGCTGAACATTCAGCGCAGTGTAGGCAGCTACATGTCATGCTAGAAGAACCAGTCACCTGTTTGCCACAACTCTGGACATTTCTTCTGCAAATTGTAATGTAACCTTCTCAAAACTTCCAGATAAAAACTTTGGTTGACCATTTGATCTGGAGGAACAAATTGCGAGTGTACTACAAAGGACCTGCTCTCCAAAAGATAATTCCAGTTTTTTTGAGTCCCCCCATATGTGGCATTATGCAGTGTTTGCTTTTTGTGACTGGCTTATTTCAGATACATAATTTCATATGTTTTTATTCAGTCACTTTTAGGGAATAAAGTCTTGCTACTATTAAGAGAAAATGATGTAAAGTCTTCAGTCTTGCATTCCCAGCCTTTGGTTTGGCATTCATAGCACTTCCAGTCCCTTATCTCCCAGTCTTTTCTTTGGGTTCCATGTTCCAGCCAGTCCACTCAAGTTCCATGCTTTTGCCTGTAGCACTTCCTCTTTGTTCCTTCTTTGCTTCTCTTCATCAACCTATTCCCATTCTATTGCAGTGCCTGAGTTATGCATGGCCCTTCTGTAAAATTATCACTGATCTTTTTGGATCATGGTGAACTCACTCTTTTGAGGATCTCTCCACAGTCACATATTATCTTGCATCGTTCATTATGTCTTACATTCTCTGTAAAGATCTTTGTTTTCCTTGTTTCCCCAACTAAATAGTGACTTGGACTTGTGGGTGGTGGTGTTTTCCATGGTGCTGCTTAGCAGTGTTTGGTGCAGAGTAGACCCTCAAGTACTTGCTGGAAGAATAAATTCCTTTCCTTACATTTAGAGGTTTAGGTCATTGGGTGTCTCCACAAAAACCATTTTGTTAATTTCTTTAATTTCTGCCTTTTCTCCCCATCCCCTACTAGAAAGTTCCAGTGAATCAGAGTGTGAATCCGATGAGGACAGCACCTGTTCCAGCAGCTCGGACTCTGAAGTTTTTGATGTCATTGCAGAAATCAAACGCAAAAAGGCCCACCCTGACCGACTTCATGATGAACTTTGGTACAATGACCCAGGCCAGGTATGTGTGTTTATATGCCCTTGTTGTGCACGTTGTAAACTCACACATTACAATTATGGCACTGGGCTCAGAAGATGCATGTTGGCTGGTATCAAAACTGAATTTTACCCTCAGGGTTGTATCCTTCTTCAGAGCTGTTTCACCCCCTCCAGCTTCCAGGTTCAGCTCCAGAGCATAAGCACCAGAGCAGCTGTTCCTTGAATCATATTTGACAATGTTTGTGAATTCTGTGTTGGGGAGATGGGTAAGGTTGCTGCCTCATTAAACTTGCAGTAGATGGAAGGAGACAAATGGTAGGATGAGGGAGACAGAACTTGTAGGTCTTTTTAAGAGTAGATCTCCAAGTAAGGTATCTTGTTGCAAAACAGTAAAGCACATCCTATATAACTTTGTTTTTTTTTCAGTTGGTAACTGTAGCAAGTCCTTGTAAGTTCTCTTCCTTGTTAAGCATGTTTGTGCTAATGACATAATAGCTGGACATAACCATTTTTATTTTTAATTACTGTTTTATTTTGAAATAATTCATAATAAAAATAGTATCTTTATAAAAAATTTGTATCTTACAAATACACAATGCATACAAAAATAGTATCTTTTTTTTTTTTTTGAGTTGGAGTCTCACTCTGTCACCCCGGCTGGAGTGCAGTGGCACACTCCTGGCTACTACAGCCTCAACCTGCTGGGCTCCAAGCATACTTCTGCCTCAGCCTTTCAAGTAGCTGGAACTACAGGCATGTGCTAGCATGCCCAGCTAATTTTTGATTTATTGTAGAGACGAGGTCTCACCAAGTTGCCTGGGTGGGTCTCGAACCTGTGACCTCAGGCAATCCACTAGCTTTGGTCTTCTAAAGTGCTGGGATTACAGGCTGAGCCACCGAGCCCGGCCAAAAATAGTATCTTTAATGCGTGTAAAGTTAGTATAGTAAAACATATCTATAAATAATTTAAAATTTGTATTTTATGAATAAATTCATACCATTTTATACCAATTACAATGCTTTTCTTCTGTTTATGTTAGATGGCAGCTATCTATATTTTTTTTCTTGATAGAATTAATATCGTTAGAATGTTTGGCAAAAATGTACTTTGTGTTGCCTTTTGCTCTCGGGATTGAGCAGAAATGTTTACAAAATTGCTGATGAACTTTAAAACTTATTTTTATATATTGATCACATATATGGTTTTCTTTTTTAAATGGCCTTATTGAGTTATAATTCACATATGATAAAATTTATGATTCAGTTTTTTTAGTGTATTCACAGAACCACACAACTATCAGTTGAATTTTAGAGTCTTTTTGTCCTCCTCTAAAAGAAACTCTTTCTCCATATGTCTTTTTAATTGGCTGTTTAATTGACTGTTGTTCTCCTGTCTAGCAAGAAGTCTCTACTCTGACTTCCGTGGATTCCTCTTACTTTGAGAGTCATCAGCACCTTCTATATGGTCTTGCTATTCAGTTTACTTTATTTGGTTTTGTGTCTTCTGCAAAGCTGAGCCTTGTAAAGGGCTGATCACGTAGAGCCCAGACCATGGTAGAAGGCAAGCATGTAGCATGCCTGTCTGATTCCTTGGAGATCAGTGAGCACTAAGTGATTTTTCCACATTTTTCATCACAGCAAGTTATCACCAGAATTAGGAGTGTTGTAACTTTTGATGAAATCCTGTTATATCTCTTATTTGCCAGCTGTTACTTTAGATAATATCTTAACATAATATTTCTTTTAGATAGTAATGTTCCTCGGCTGTACCACCTGGAGCTTTAGATTTCCCGTGAGGCTAAAGATATAGCTTTTTACTTTTTTTTTCAAAATTTTATTGAAATATTTTCATTTATATTTTAATTGGGCACAATGAGTTATAAATCTCAAGAACTTTAAAGGGGTGTGTGTGTGTGTGTGTGTGTGTGTGTGTGTACATGTGTGTATTTTTTCTTTTTCTTTTTTTAGGATTAGTCAAGTGAAGCAGTGGGAGTGGAGAAGGAATCTGTAACTGGTTATGATCAATTAGTTGTAAACACCACTGCATTCAGTCTAGCCTGTATTTTTTAATTAATACAAAGAGAAATGTAACTCCACTTTCTCCATCTCCCCATCTAAGCTCTGGTTTTATTGTTGATTTAATATTACCATTTATGCTGGATAAACTCATAAAACAGTCTTGTAGGCCTTTCTGATTTTGAACTCAGTTCTGTGGACTTTTCTCTCACATAAATGATCTGTTTCATTTAGATGGGTCTCATGGCCTAGAACATCGTGGGCTGTCTGCCTTCCTGTTTTTTCTCATGCATGCTGGTGACCTTGTGGAATGGCCATCTTCTTTTTTAGTCCAGCCCTTCACTTTTTGTCTCTTTGAAGCCCCAGTGTTACCTCCATTTACAGTGATTTTTTTCTTTCAAATTACTAAGCGCGTTTTGTTTATGTTGTTCTCTTATCTAGAATAAAGGTTCCTGAGCCATGTTTGTCATCCCATGCTCAGTACTCATCTTTCTAGCCAAGAGGTATTAAAGAGTTGTTCCTTTATCAAGTCATGTAGGTGGAGTTTGTGGCATGGAAGTGAGTTGAGGTGAAAAAATATACAAGTCTAACCTGACTGATGTAGAACATTTTTCTAATTCTAGTAGGCATTTTCTTCTGTCTGCTTCCAAGATAACTTTCAGTTCCTCTTTTCAAAACATTTAATGTGTGAATCACCTTCAGAGCATTTTGTGTGTTCCTCCAGGATATAAAATTTGCTTTTGTGAGAGAGTTATTTTTTCTAAAATAAGAAATAGGAGAAAAAAATGTACTGGAAGTGGTAGGAGAAGATGGGGGCAAACAGTGTGCTGACATTGATATTTTCTGCTTGGCTGCACAAGTAACTTGGGAATGCAGCGTTGTCATATGGTTTCCCTTTATCAGACAGTATAGACAGTTTGCAGCTTTATTGGTTTTGGAACATCCGTTTAATCTCCTAACCGTGACAGCCTCTTCAGAGCTTCAGTGCTCATGACATGAAAACCCACACAGTTTCTGACATATCATCGCGAATGGTGTGGATTTTTCCCTCCAATAAAAGCGAATTACATTGTGTTTCTGACAGATGAATGATGGACCACTCTGCAAATGCAGCGCGAAAGCGAGACGCACAGGAATCAGGCACAGCATTTATCCTGGAGAAGAGGTAACCGGTTTGGGTTATTATGTTTGTAAATGCTGAGAAACCAGAAGTAGACAGATGTTGTTGCTCTTCTTTCCCCCATAAATGAAATAATACCATCAAAATACTCTTTTCATATTCCCTAATAGTCTCTGTTACTGATCATTGCAGAGGAAAAGTACTCAGGCTTTGGGGATGGAGTGGGGAATGTTCCCAAGGAAACTTGAAGACGTTGTGGAGGGCTCATTATGTAAAATGGTCAAAATGTATTTGATATGTGTTTATTATTTTAAGTATTCTAAAATGGCACCTGTGATGTTTTCTAATGTTGGTTATGAATTACCCTGGAGAAATGCTCTTACTAAGTACTGTGAGACGTATGTCCTCTTCCCTTGGGAGAGGGTCTGGCTGCCATCTGCTGCCTGCTGGTGCTTCCCCTTCACCATGTTGCTTGTCATACTCACTGTCCTTGTTGGTTGTCCTCCTCACCAAACTGATCATACCCCAACAGTTTGACCTGTGTCTCTGCAGCCCCTGGTTTGTCAAGGGCCCTCTAATAAGTTTGGCTGAATGGGTAGAATACTTTTACCTTTCAGAGTCATACATAACTACTCCCTTTCAGTTATTTTCCTTCCTCTCCCCCACCCATTATCTTTAATTTTTATAAGCTATTTTTATTAACCGAGATTCTCATTTATGTTTCAGTGTATTATGTTTAAATAAAGTATATGTAAATCCTTAATTTCTATTTACAACTTGTTTGAGGCCACAACAAGAATTGAAATAAAGACTATGAGACAGTGACTGATAATTTGAAATACTTGCTTCACTTTACCTCATTTGTCTTTGAAAGTCAGCAAGTGTAGCAAGGAGTTGTGGGACAAGATGTCATTTGGTAAGCACTTGTGGATGCGCCTCAGGTTGGGGGCTCCGGATATAAGGCTCCCAATTAGGCATCAATACTTGTTTTTTTTTTTTTTTTTGAGTTGGAGTCTCACTCTGTCGCCCAGACTGGAGTGCAGTGGCCGCTCCCGGCCACCGCAGCCTCGACCTGCTGGGCTCCAGCGATCCTTCCGCCTTCTTCCAAGTAGCCAGAATTACATCACACCCGGCTGATTTTTTGATTTATTGTAGAGAGGGGGTCTCGCTGCCCAGGCGGGTCTCGAACCCGCGGGCTCAGGCAATCCACTCACCTCAGCCTCCCAAAGGCACGGGATTACAGGCTGAGCCACTGAGCCCGGCTAGGCATCAATACTTGTAATAATAGAGCAGAGGCAGGATTGAGCCAAGGAACAGGCCACCTGTGATGTGAGCGTGATCAGGCCTGGCTTGTCGGAATTTTCTTGTGTTGAGCTGGAATGACTTCCAAACCCCCTTCTCCCTTAGTCCCCAGAGCAGGGTACAGAGAACAGTATGATGTTGGGAGAGGGGGCTCTGCAACTGAGGCTGACCATGAAGGAACCAACAGCTGCAGGCTGTGTATTGACCATACTCCTCAGAAGTGGACAGCAGGTCCTTCCTTGAAGGGGGATTGGGTGGGCAGTGGTGTTAGCTAGGGATCTGCAGGCAGGAAAAGCAAGTGGCAGGTTGGTCTCTTCAAGGAATGGTACCATTTTGGGGACTCAGCAGGGATCACTGCATTTGCAGTGGAAATTAGCTTAATTAGCTTCACTTTGGTAAGTGGGTTCATGCTCTTGGGCTCATGCAAAGCCTCCATCTCTGCTACTGTGGCCACTTCATTCATTTGTCCCTCCAGTCACTCTGGAGTGGCTGAGGACAGAGGTTGACTGACATCAACTGCCCTGGTCATTTTGTCTGCTTGATGCTTGAGTACCTCTTCCATGATGACTGCTTTCTAATGGACATCCATGTGTGAGATAGAGCTTGTCATGCTGCCTTTCAATTGTTCACTCACAAGACCTTTTTCATCTCTGATCTTCCAATCTTCTTTTTTCTAGGCCCCTGACCAGCTGGCATGGCCACTTGCTTCTGCCCATGAGCCCATCTATATTCTCACTTCAGGCCACTTCTCTTTCCACACAAAGTGGATGACCAGGTACACTACCTGAAACTGCCCACTGGGGGAGATTTTCCCTCACTGCTGCCTTTTAGAGCCATCCTTGAGTGAGGCTGTCGTGCAGTCTATTTTCAGCCTTGCCAGCTGACCCTTTTGCAAACCAAGCTTGGATGTTGTCTCTGCTTTACATCCTTAGTCATCAATTGAGGAGGGATGCTGGTGCTACAGTGGTAGAGCTGTGGGGATCCAGGCCACTTGCTTTGGCAACTTGTTTGTGCCCTTTGGTCCTATGCCTGACACTGGATGCAGCACCTCTCTCATCTGATGGATTGTTGCTGATGCTTTATTGTCTGATGAGACTGACAGAATTTAGCCTATGATGGGCAGTTCTGGCCACAGGTGTATCTGGTATCCCATGGCCAGGCCTTCTATATCTAGCAGGGCACAGTAGCATATCAGGAGTATTTTTTTCAAAGGCACATAACTCTTCACTACAGGTAACATGGTCTTGCTCCAGAACCTCAGGGACCAGCAGTGAGATTCTCCCAGTGTGGCCTGCCATAGATTCCTCTCAGCATCTTTTCTCACAAGTGCCACAGGATCTGCTGAATTGGATGGCCCCAGCTGCAGGGCTTCTTGTGCTGGAACACCTAAGGCCTCTTTCCTTTGGGCTGCACACAGTGCTGGCAGCCTTCTGTGCCACTCTGTGAATGGCTGGAGCAGTGTTTTTAGGTATGGACTATGCTACCTCCTGAACCAACCATTGTGCTTCCTTCTACATTGTAGGAGGTGGCAGATGCAATTATTGTCTTTTGCTTGGGAGGGGATGTCTTGGCATTCCCCACACCACTGAACTCCTAAAAATTGTGTGGTAGGCTCCTGAATTTTTGTATATTTCTCATCCTCTGCCCTGCATGTGATTTACCAAGGCCTGTAGCCTGACCAACATAATGTCAGAGGTGTAATGGAGCAGTGG